GTATACACCTTGACGGAGTGACAGTATTCTTTTATTCGGTAGTTTATATGTCTTGGCGGAGTAATTAGAGACAGTATTCTTTAACCCGGTAGTTTATATGTCTTGGCGGAGTAATTAGAGACAGTATTCTTTTACCCGGTAGTTTATTCGCTCTTGGAGGAGTAATTAGAGACAGTTCTCTTTTACCCGGTAGTTTATTCGCTCTTGGCAGAGTAATTAGAGATAGTATTCTTTTACCCGGTAGTTTATTCGCTCATGGCGGAGTAATTAGAGATAGTATTCTTTTATTCGGTAGTTTATATGCCTTGCCGGAGTAATTAGAGATAATATTATTTTACCCAGTAGGTTATATGTCTTGGCGGAGTAATTAGAGACAGTATTATTTTACCCGGTAGTTTATATGCCTTGCCGAAGTAATTAGAGATAATATTATTTTACCCGGTAGTTTATATGTCTTGGCGGAGTAATTAGAGACAGTATTCTTTTACCCGGTAGTTTATTCGCTTTTGGAGGAGTAATTAGAGACAGTACTCTTTTACCAAGTAGTTTATATGTCTTGCCGGAGTAATTAGAGACTGTACTCTTTTACCCGGTAGTTTATATGTCTTGGCAGAGTAATTAGAGATTGTACTCTTTTACTCGGTAGTTTACTTGTCTTGGCGGAGTAATTAGAGACAGTACTCTTTTACCCCGTAGTTTATATGCCTTGCCGGAGTAATTAGAGATAGTATTCTTTTACCCGGTAGTTTATATGTGTTGCCAGAGTAATTAGAGATAGTATTCTTTTACCCAGTAGTTTATATGTGTTGCCAGAGTAATTAGAGATAGTATTCTTTTACCCGGTAGTTTATATGTCTTGGCGGAGTAATTATAGACAGTACTCTTTTACCCGGTAGTTTATTTGTCTTAGCAGAGTAATTAGAGACAGTACTCTTTTGCCCGGTAGTTTATATGTCTTGCCGAAGTAATTATAGATTGTACTCTTTTACCGTGTAGTTTTTATGTCTTGGTGGAGTAATTAGAGATAATACTCTTTTACCCGGTAGTTTATATGTCTTGGTGGAGTAATTAGAGATAATACTCTTTTACCCGGTAGTTTATATGTCTTACCAGAGTAATTTGAGATTGTACTCTTTTGCTCGGTAGTTTATATGCCTTGCCGGAGTAATTAGAGATAATATTATTTTACCCGGTAGTTTATATGTGTTGCCAGAGTAATTAGAGACAGTATTCTTTTACCCGGTAATTTATATGTCTTGTTGGAGTAATTCGAGATAGTACTCTTTTACCCGGTAGTTTATATGTCTTACCGGAGTAATTAGAGATTATATTCTTTTACCCGGTAGTTTATATGTCTTGGCGGAGTAATTATAGATTGTACTCTTTTACCCGGTAGTTTATATGTCTTGGCGGAGTAATTAGAGATAGTATTCTTTTACCCTGTAGTTTATATGTCTTGGCGGAGTAATTAGAGATAGTATTCTTTTACCCGGTAGTTTATATGTCTTGGCGGAGTAATTAGAGATAGTATTCTTTTACCCTGTAGTTTATATGTCTTGGCAGAGTGATTAGAGATAGTATTCTTTTACCCGGTAGTTTATATGTCTTGGCGGAGTAATTAGAGATAGTATTTTTTACCCGGTAGTTTATTCCCCTTAGCGAATTAATTAGAGATAGTATTCTTTTACCCTGTAGTTTATATGTCTTGGCAGAGTGATTAGAGATAGTATTCTTTTACCCGGTAGTTTATATGTCTTGGCGGAGTAATTAGAGATAGTATTTTTTACCCGGTAGTTTATTCCCCTTAGCGAATTAATTAGAGACGGTATTCTTTTACCCCATAGTTAATTCCACTTGGCGGAGTAATTAAAGATATTTAGTTTAATTTGATATACCTTGACGGAGCAATTAGAGACAGTATTTTTTACCCAGTAGTTTATGCGTCTTGGCGCAGTGTGTAATTATACACATATCCACAATATACCTTCCTCACCCCTCATAATGATTATGAATAATTCACTAATTATATATTATTTGTCAGGGTGTAGGGATGCAGTGCTAAACAACATGATTGGAGAATATTTGAGCCCTTCTTTAAGCCAGTCAATTAGTTGGTGGCTGAGAAGTATAAATGATTGGCTGTAATGCTGGTTAATTAATATATGGACCTTCAGGGTAAACAATATCGCTGCTGGACTAAATACAGGACTAGAGGGGAATAGAAAGGACTACCGGTCCAATTAAAGAAATGTCAGTGATCTTATAAGACAGCTGGTAGGATTAAAGGACAGTATGTGATCTCATAGGACTTTAGTATATATATGGAGAACTCAAGTGACTATACAAGTCAAAATTTAGGACTACATGAGAACTTAATTGGGACTACTATCCAAAATATAGGACTGTAGGGAACCTTAAGGGACTTTGGGTAAACAGATAGGGCTGTATATTCAACCAACGAAATTTAACTAAACTGAAAGGACATCATGAGAACTTATTTGAGAGTTGTGAAAAGAGCGATATGCTGAACGAAAAAAGGCGAGTTTTCGCGAATTTTAACAAATTTTAAAGATATATATTTTCATAATTTACAGAATATTTGTTTGCACGTGACTGTACATACTTCTATAATCAGTGCATTTAAAAAAACGTCATGCATATAATTACTAAAACTTAAAATTCCCAATTTGACTTTAGTTGCGGCATGATGTTTATATATAAATAAAAAATTACACATTTTAAATAAAACTGTTATGCAACTTCTTCGATATTCCGTAACAGAGGAGAGAGTTAGATGGACTGGGGTTATTCACGTTGGTACCCTTTAAACCTATGTCTGATTAGTCTAATCGTTATTGTGGAAGATTTCTTCGGTTTATTTATTTGAAATGTTTCTGACTTGACAATTATACCTTCAATGTTTCTTTAACAGAAATCCTCATACAGAGCGTCCCGTATCTTATCGGATTATTTCAACGCTTTCAAGGGCGAATTTTTTGCACCCTCCTAGGTGCTCCTTGGGGGGGGGGGGCAAAATTTGAACTGTAAATTCAAAACATTTGGCTTCTTGGATACTTTAAAGGTACACATGCAGTCCAATTAACTTAAAATATACTTATTTATCTCTCCTTCAAACAAACCTAGCAGAAAAAAGCAGCATGCTAATTTTTTTTTATGTTCTCACTCCTAAGTTTTAGATATAAAAGTGTGATAACTCTTAATTCTAGGGGGGTGGTACGCTCCCCCTTTACAGGTCTAGGGGGGACACTTCCCCCTTGCCCCTCCTGTATACGCCCTTGCACGCTTTAAAGTTAAAAATACGCAAATACTCGATAAACCTAGTGTTTTCTGCAATACAATTTTACAATTGCCTTATACAATTTTTTTAATGATTCAATTTCCTTAATTTCAGATTAGTCGCGAAAATCGTAATTTAGAGCCAATAACGATCCGATATGATATGGGACACCCTGTAGATTCTGTAGATAGGGTGCCCACCTCTAAATTGTCAAAAATACCCTGAAAATCCTTAAATTTTCCTACATAAAGCAGCTTTTTTTAAAGGGTTTTAAGAGGGTTTTTAACAATTTTTCCTAACTGATGCAATTTCAGATCTCTTTACAGTGCACATGTCAAAGTTTCATTTAAAATTAACTCTGAAACACAAAAAAATTAATGGTCACATTACACAGTTTGAAAATAAAAACCAGTTGCTTACAATTGCGGGCTCATGGAACATACTTTGAAAAAAATACAGTCATGTGCATTTGAAAATGCTCAGAGAAAGGCATTATTGCCAAAAAACTGATTTCGAGCAAAAAATTATGCCAAAATCCCCCAAAATAAAAGTTTTTTTTACCCTAATAATTTAAGATATCGGAACAAAAACGAATGAGCAGTAATCAGCGGAATCTCACGCAGCTTTAGATACCCATATTGACATATTTTGTCATGAAGAAACTTTTTACTACTGCAACATTTTTGATTTTTTTCAACCCTTAAAGTAATTTTCGCATAGCAATTTTAATTGTACAGAAAATTATGTTTGAAAAAGTTGTTCCGATGCATCCAATACCAACTAACGATATTTAGATTTTTTAAAATTTCCATGTCACTACCTTAAAGAGATATACACTTTACAGGAAAACTTCCGTTTAACTACCAGACATGTATTTCATTAATTTTTGACAAAATATCAGAAATATCACAATAAGTATTCAAAATCCCCAGAATATTCCCCAAGCGGGTTCTAAATCAAAAGATATGGCACTTCTGGGGATTTAATCCACAAGGTTGGGCACCCTGAAATAAATAAACATTGATAGCTGATGTACGTAAAAATCACCCAGAATTGTTCAGTCCATGAACTCACAATTCTAGGGGTCAAAGTGTCCTAAAATGATAAGCAGGGTGGTTTGGTGTTTTTATGGATTTCATGATTATCACAAGTTCACAATTGAAAATAATCAAATTTCAAAGTTAAAACATAGATAGTTCATACAGTCTTGATGTAGGCCATGTAAAATTAAGATTAACGAAAAAGTAAAGTGTTTTAGCTCGGGTTCAGAAGGTACAGGAGGTATTATCTTTTTATTCATTCATTTAAGAATTTTGTCAGTATCGAGTTTAAACACCAACTCTCGAACATTTCTCGCGTGTTTCACATGAAACACAAGAAACACATAACATGGGAGAAATCTATTCTAACGATTACAGAGCTCAATAATCGAACTCATTGTAAGTAATGGCTGATAAGAGAGCTGAAGAATGGGATGATAAGGAACTGGAGAAAGTCTGTATGTTGTTAGGAAACGAGGGGACTAAAGAATATGAAGTATGTAGAGGGGGGGGGGGGAGTTAAGGGAGGGGGGAGGCGGCAGTCCATAAAAAGTCATGTACTCCGTATAATATCTTTCTTTATGATTCAAATTTTAAAAATTGCATCATAATAAATTTCATATCACGGTCCAGTCTTGAATACGATATTATTTGCATTATCATCACCATTGAAAAGTTAACCACCATTTGTTTTGTGTCTCGAGTTAAGAGATATAACATGAATATTATTGTAGAAGGTTTTTTTTCGCAGGGTTTCATTTCCGGTGTTCTCCGGGTACCATGTTTAATAGGACGTTCTACTCCGGATGGAAGTTTGACTTGAAACCTGAGAAATTCCCCGGTAGACGGGGAACGTATTGAACCTCGGACTATGTGCGCGCGTCTCTACCGTCTGTGCGCGTATCCTGACCGGACAGTTGAATCTAAGATGTGTGCGCGTGAAGACGCGAAGAGTGAGCGCCCTTTTACAATATTATGTGACATTTGATGGGATAATTTTACAAGATATATAACACGCAAACACTAGATTAGAAACAGAGAAAAACAAAACTTGCAATCTTGCAAATCTGTCCGGGTTTAAAGATTTAGTCACTTTTGGAACATTGTAAACATTGAAAGGGCTATATTAGAAAAATATTCTCCGAAAGAAAAGAACTTTGTTTATAATTCAAAAGAGCAAAAACCAGTGACCAGTAGCTCAGGACTAAGACCTAGATTGCTTTTCTTATGAATTTCAGTTTGCCCGAGGCAGGGATGTGTGAGAAACTAGGACTAACTCTCCTATTGTAAAAAGCGATGTGTTAAATAACTGAGAAATAAAGGATTTCCCGACCTAACTTTTTACTCCTCTCTGTAAAATATCTTACGAGAAATCAACAAAACTCTGTCACGATATTTTGTCTCCGGAGGGTTTCCTAAGTTGCTCCCTGACCCGAACCTGTCGAGAGTTGCTCCCTGACCTGAACCCTGTCAGAAGTTCTTCGTGATCCGTCCCACCAGGGAACCGAGTCATCAACATTCTAAATAGTCGTTTTAAATGACTCTGGACATTTAACCAAGACGAGGATGAACCGAATGGCTCCCCACTACTATGCTCCCCCTGTCCCCCCTCCGCTCCCTAGAAAGGGAATTCTCATGCTCCCTCCTCCACCCCCTCCAATGTCAAGTATTCCTCGTGCTCCAGGCTCCATGGATCCTCTCCTTGCTAAAAGCTCCACCTGGAGTTATAAACCTGGTTTTGGAAACCCGGCCAATCTGATCCCAATGGGAAGTGGAGAACGAATTCGTCCTGAGAAAATTAATAGACGAGGTTTGCATTCTCTCTCAACCTTTGATTATGAGGAGCTCGGAGCTCGCCCTGCCTCACAGAACACTGCTAGTGCAATGACTATAGCAGACGTATCTCCTAGGTTAGCCTTACAGAGAATCCTAATGCTCTACGAGAACGGAGATCACAGAGAAGCTGCAGCATTTCTCCGCCGTCTTTCTCCGCCAACCTTCCGCCAGCTCCTCCCCCAGCTCCCTGCAGATCTTTTCATCGAATCCATGCCTCACTCTCTTCCAATCCTGGAGGCATTGTACGCTAAGCTGTTCCTTGCTGGAGAAACTATCTGGCATGAGACCAGAGCTGCATCAAACCTGAGACCTGAGGCGGTAGTTTGGCAAATGGTGAGATTCTTTGCATCCCAGGAGGATGGACTCATCGGTCAAATGAGATGGGAGTTCTGTGGTCCATTTATATCCTCCTGTAAACGTCTGCTTAGTGTTTTATTATCAGCAGAACCAAAAGTGAGAAGGATTCTTTTCGAACGAAAGAAAGCTCTACAAAAAGCAATCGAAGGTTTAGGACAGCATGGCATGGTTGGAACCTCGGATGAACGATTGATGAATTTACATGATGCGCTCAAGCTTGAGTTCCAACAGGTTCAGAGGAGTTACACCAGTGCTCTGGAGCAACTGGAGAATTTATCCCTGGTGGTTGGGAAGGGAGCTAAGGGTCAGGTTGGACAGGGTAAAGCTCCAATTGCTCAAAGTCATCAAAGACAACTATCTCTGAAAGCTGATGAGATCCAGGAGAGATTAATCAAGAACAAGACTCTCCTCAACGTGGTTGAACCCACCCTGGAGAACACGTCCCTCGAGGTTCTACTCGGTATTCTCCAGCAGCGAATAGAACTGGATAAGGAATGTATGTTCCAGTTTACACAGCTCCGGAAAGAAGTCCGTCTGGTGGACGGACAAACCAGTGTTGCTCCGGTCCTTATGCGCTACCAGAGAGGGTGTCAACAGGTTAGATTTATGGTTAATTGTTTCACGGAGTAGAACCAGGAGTTCCAAGAGGAACAATATAACTCTTTATCCGGTAATAAATCCCGTCCTGGTTACCTTCATTTGATTTATTTCAACGCAAAGTAGGAACTAATCAATATTAAATGATAGGAAGATGATTTATAGATAATTTGTTGCAACTTTCTTCAATATATTATCTTTACATTTTAATTATCAATCCACTTTAACTTACTTTAAAACATTTTAAACCCACTAAGTCAGAAGCAAAATTACAGAAGTTCTTGAAGACACCCGAAGCGCCCTAAAATTCTAAAGAAAATCTCTAAGTACTTAAATAATTCCAAACACCTAATTAAAAAGAAAGTATTTCCAAATCAAAAATAAATATGTGTAAAATACCAAAGGAAAATAAGATCGTTGAAGAGATACAGATAAGAATTTATTTTAGTTTACATATAACTTTTGAGTATGATAATCTGTAAGCGTAACCGTCAAAGCTTAAAGGTTGCAGAGTAAAACTCTTTCAGTCAATAGGAGGAAAAGAGATAAACATTCTTTTAATTTGTTGATACAAAGATCTTTAAGATGGAAGACCTTAAATTCTAAACATTCTTGTCCTATCTGTGTAATGTGTGGATAGATAGGTCTTTAAGTGTATCTAGAGATATTGGTTCTTGAACCCCGTGACCGGAGAGAAAACGGTTCTAACATTCCTCCACCAGTACATAGAGCATAACGGAGTTTAGGACCACTCTGTACTTACAGCATACCGGAGAAAAAGGACCACTTTAACATGGAGAAATGAACAAATAAATACCTTCAAGTAGGAGTTAGGTTTCTCGTAGACAAATACTTTAAAAACTAAAGGCGGAGNATTTAAAAAGTTGAAGGTAAAAGAATGGGGAGGGTTTAAAGATAGGAGAAGAGAGGTCTGTTGTTAGGTTCAACCCATTTACTCAGAGAAATATGTTTAATTGCTCATATTGAGAAATATCTTCTTTACCCTGGACTTTACCCATTGTTAATATGGAGTGTGGGAAGTGGAGGGGGGGGGGGGTTAAACCCCTAAATTTCAAAACTCTATTGGCAATTCACAGACTCAAGATGAAGCCATTTCATCCTTTTCTTGAGTAAGGGGTCAAACCCATCAAATACTGTGAGCTGAAATATGGTTTAGCTCAGCAGACAACAAAATATAAGATCTCACTTCAGAGATAGTGTTTTCCAAAAAGTGTAGAGTCCGATGACTTCCAAAAAGCTGATTTTTTTAAAAATTAGCACTTAGGCCAATTTTTGTGGGAAGGATTTGAGTCTTTGCCACAAAATCAATTTTTCTAATCCCTATATCCTTACAACACGATGTCGCAGACCTTTGATATTTCAAACTTATCTAAGTTTGAAATATCAAAGGTTTGCACCATGAAGTTTTTAAAAAGTTAGCAATAAAAAATTTGAGTTTTTGGCAAAGACTCAATTCATTTAATGTTTTTAACCATAATTTTAACCCACTATATTCTAAAGAACACTGCATACTGCACAGTAGTGTGCTAAATAAATAACTTAAATTAGAGTATTTAATGATTGAAATATTAAAGCGGTATCTAGGTACTACTTGAGCTGAAATCAGAGTATTTAATGATTAAAATATTAGAACGGTATATAGGTTTTACTGGAGCTAAAATTAGAGGATTTAATTATTAAAATATTAGAACGGTATCTATAATCTATGTGCTACTGGAGCTGAAATTAAAGGATTTAATGATTAAAATATTAGAACGGTATCTAGGTACTACTGGAGTTAAAATTAGAGTATTTAATGATTAAAATATTAGAACGGTATTTAGGTACTACTGGAGCTGAAATTAAAGGATTTAATGATTAAAATATTAGAACGGTATCTAGGTACTACTGGAGCTAAAATTAGAGGATTTAATGATTAAAATATTAGAACGGTATCTAGGTACTACTGGAGCTGAAATTAGAGTATTTAATGATTAAAATATTAGAACGGTATCTAGGCACTACTTGAGCTAAAATTAAAGGATTTAATGATTAAAATATTAGAACGGTATCTAGGTACTACTGGAGCTGAAATAAAGGTGATCTATGTCCTCTGGGTGCCATTTAACTTAGATTAAACAATAATCAAACCACGCATTGTCCTTTCGAGCCAACAATCTTTTTATTAGAATCAGACAATGGTTTAGGATGGTTTAGGATGGGGTAGAAGGGAGACATAAGGCAATAAATACTTCAGATTAGAGGATATGGTTTGTTCACTGTACCAATTGTATTTATTGTTTGATAATTAAAATAAATACGGAATCATTTTTTAAAGAATGAAATAATATAAAGACATCTGTTTACGTCTTGGAATTATATTCTGGGGTTAATACTTTTGTGTATTTAACAATTATGCGTATCTTGCGCATTCGTACGGAATAATGCGTATCTTGCGTAGTCCTACGGAATAAATTGATTAAATTTATTTAACTAATTATGGGATCAAACTAAAGGAAATGAGTCTTTGCAACAATCTTATTTTCTAATTTTTATATCTTCTTACCAAATGTCATAGACTTTAGATATTTCAAACTATGAATTTTGTTAGATCAAATAGTCTAAGCTTGAAATATCAAAAGATTACACTATTAGGTTGAAAAGATATAGAGGTTTAAAAATTTGAGATTGTGGCAAAGACTCAATTCCTTTAGAAAACAGTTTTTGTAAACTATGTTGTGGAGAAATTTGAACCTACTCAATGCAAATATCATCATATATGTGTTTAGGGTAATATCGTAACGAATTTGGCATTTTTTGAAACTCCTGTTTAGTTTGTTTAAGTTGTTACATAAATCTATCTGAACCGTACGCTTGTCTGTTCAATGATCGTTCATCCTTTCTTAAACCTACGCAACTTTTGGCGTCAGTTTAACAGTTACGATGGATCAAACCTTACACTTGCCTTTTGTTAAACTCCAAAACCATTCCTTGTTGAGTTCTTCTCAATCTGCAGTATCTTGGTGCAACTAGAGATAATAAGACTTTTCCTAAACCTGGTGAACCAAGATACCCAATATGATCTTAGAAACGTAGACCTTCTCATTATCCTAGAAACTCAATCCCCCTTTTCTAACCCTGGATACCCAACCCTCTTCTCCTAACTCTGGATACCCAACCCTTCTCTTTTAACCCAGGATATCCAACCGTTCTCTCCTAACCATGGATATCCAACCCCAATCTCCTAACCCTGGATACATAACCCTCCTCTCCTAACCCTGGATACCCAACCCTCATCTCCTAACCCTGGATACCCAACCCTCCTCTCCTAACCCTGGATACATAACCCTCTTCTCCTAAACCTTGGATACCCAACCCTCCTCTCCTAACCCTGGATACATAACCCTCTTCTCCTAACCCTTGGATACCCAACCCTCCTCTCCTAACCCTGGATACATAACCCTCTTCTCCTAACCCTGGATACATAACCCTCTTCTCCTAACCCTGGATACACAACCCTCCTCTCCTAACCCAGGATATCCAACCCTCCTCTCCTAACCCTGGATACATAACCCTCTTCTCCTAACCCTGGATAAACAACCCTCCTCTCCTAACCCAGGATATCCAACCCTTCTTTCCTAACCCAGGATACCCAAGCTTTCTCTCCTAACTCTGGATTCCCAAACCTCCTCTACTAACTCTGGATACACAACCCTCCTCTCCTAACTCTGGATAAACAACCCTCCTCTCCTAACCCAGGATATCCAACCCTCCTCTCCTAACTCTGGATACCCAAACCTCCTCCCCTGGCTCCAGATGCTAAGCCTGATCTATAATTACGCCTTAACTGTCCGTATTGTCGCCTGGTTTAGAAAGTTAGATATTATCCATGAAGAATGAGACCAATGATACAAAAGGTTCTTTATTCCAACCTGAAGCTGCTCCTGGCCGCTCAATAATAGAAATTCCTAGGTCGTTATTTTATTCCAATTCATTTATCTTTCTACGCTCAGTTTTGTGTTTACTAGATATGAAACAAGGGCGGAGAATCATTAATCTATCTAGATTTTTTAATAATGTTTATCCAAGTCCTAGGACTGGAAGTAGTAGTTTCTATGGGTTGTTTATTCCAGCTTTATCTAGGTTCTAGAACTAATAGAAGGATTTAGGAACTCTTAGTTTTCTCCAGGTTGATTAGCCATGTTGTATTTAGGTTCTAGAGATTTCGGGAACTAGTAGGTTTCTCCAGTTAGATTAAACATGTTGTATCTAGGTTCTAGAGATCATACAAGGGTTGGGTAACTAGTAGTTTTCTCCAGGTTGATAATCCATGTTGTATCTAGGTTCTATAGATCAAACAAGGGTTGGGGAACTTGTAGGTTTCTCCAGTTAGATTAAACATGTTGTATCTTGGTTCTAGAGATCAAACAAGGGTTGGGGGAACTAGTAGGTTTCTCCAGGTTGATAATCCATGTTGTATCTAGGTTCTAGAGATCATACTAGGGTAGGGAATTAAGATTGTTCTCCAGATTAAATAGCCATGTTGTATTTGAGTTCTAGAGATTATACAAGGGTTGAGGAAGAAGTAGGTTTCTACAGGTTGTTGATCCTTGTTAAATCTAGGTACTGGAGCTAATGCAGGAGGTTCGGGACGAAGGAGAAGACGAAGGACAGCACAGTGATTTATCTCCCTACCAGAGCGACTCGGACTCTGCTGTAATGATGTCTGGAAATTCACCATTCATTTCGAAGGTAATAGAAAGCTAGAACGTAAGTTTGTTAATCCAATTCATCCCCGCAAACTTAGATTATTATATGTAAGAATGCACCGTGCAGAGTAGAAATCTAAAATTGCAAGTCGTTATTTTTCATATTTCCTATTCTTTATTTCCCCCAGGTGTGTTCCTGAATCATGAATTGAATCCGCCCTAGTCTGTATTCGTGTGAACTATATTGTGGGAGAAATCTTGAATCATTTAATCACTCTCTGTTCATTTAGACTTTATTTAATCTACACACTCATATTTTATTCTAAATTCTAAACACGCAAATATATTTTAATTGTAATTTATTTTACTCAAAACTTACTATTCATTCCTCCAGGTATATATTTATACTTACTTCTCCTTCCCTAGTTGTTCATTCCTCCAGGTATATATTTATACTTACTTCTCCTTCCCTAGTTCTTCATTCCTCCTGGTATATATTTATACTTACTTCTCCTTCCCTAGTTGTTCATTCCTCCAGGTATATATTTATGCTCACTTCTCCTTCCCTAGTTCTTCATTCCTCTGGGTGGTATATATTTATACTCACTTCTCCTTCCCTATTTGTTTATTCCTCCAGGTATATATTTATACTCACTTCTCCTTCCCTAGTTCTTCTTTCCTCCAGGTATATATTTATACTTACTTCTCCTTCCCTAGTTCTTCATTCCTCCAGGTATATATTTATACTTACTTCTCCTTCCCTAGTTCTTCTTTCCTCTAGGTATATATTTATACTCACTTCTCTTCCCTAGTTCTTCTTTCCTCCAGGTATATATTTATACTCACTTCTCCTTCCCTAGTTCTTCTTTTCTCCAGGTAATTATTTATACTCACTTCTCCTTCCCTAGTTCTTCTTTCCTCCAGGTATGTATTTATACTCACTTCTCCTTCCCTAGTTCTTCTTTCCTCCAGGTATATATTTATACTCACTTCTCCTTCCCTAGTTCTTCTTTCCTCCAGGTATATATTTATACTTACTTCTTCAGGTAAAGGATTATACTCACTTCTCCAAGCATATACCTTCTCTTCTTCAAGCATAAACCTTCTCTTCTTCAAGCATAAACCTTCTCTTCTTCAAGCATAAACCTTCTCTTTTCCAAGCATAAACCTTCTCTTCTTCAAGCATAAACCTTCTCTTCTTCAAGCATAAATCTTCTCTTCTTCAAGCATAAACCTTCTCTTCTTCAAGCATAAACCTTCTCTTCTTTAAGCATAAACCGTCTCTTCTTCAAGCATAAACCTTCTCTTCTTCAAGCATAAACCTTCTCTTCTTTAAGCATAAACCGTCTCTTCTTCAAGCATAAACCTTCTCTATTTCAAGCATAAACCGTCTCTTCTTTAAGCATAAACCTTCTCTTCTCTTAGCATAAACCTTCTCTTCTCTAAGCAAAAACCTTTTTTTCTCCAATCATAATCCTTCTCTTCTTCAAGCATAAACCGTCTCTTCTTTAAGCATAAACCTTATCTTCTTCAAGCATAAACCGTCTCTTCTTTAAGCATAAACCTTCTCTTCTTCAAGCATAAACCTTCTCTAATTAAGGCATGAACCTTCTCTTCTCTTAGCATAAACCTTCTCTTCTTCAAGCATAAACCTTCTCTAATTTAAGCATAAACCTTCTCTTCTCTTAGCATAAACCTTCTCTTCTTTGAGCATAAAACTTCTCCGAATTAAAGTTTTTAAAATGAATATTGTCTAGTGGAGTTAGCTCTGGGTCTGGTAGTTCTGATACAGCTAGTAACGAGGATAAGAGCGAGATCCCTGTTACATCCTCTTCATCCTCATCCAACTCTACAAAGAGAAGATCAGAGAACAGATCCGTCCCGAGACCCAGACATCTCAAACCAAAGAAAGATATTTACAAATCCTCATCAGGTTAGATTATTCCTATTCATATTCTGAAATGATGAAAACGTCCTAGTCAACTCTGTTTGATAGATCTGAGTGGTGCAAGGTTAAGCTTGAATTAGAAACCTGGATCCAATTCCAACTTGAATCAGAAAAAAATAAAATTTCATTCCAATAATTTCATCTTGCTCTGCCCCATATCCTGAAAGAGGAAAATTACTAAATTGAAATTGCTTCTTCTAAAAAGAGAAAAATGGGTTTACTATAGCAGTAAAGAAATTTTATTGAATATTCAAGATTGAGATTTAAAATTAAATTGTTTTGAAATAATAATAATTTACTGAATATCAACAATTATTATATTTTTCAACCAACTCATTGTGCAACCTTAAGTTTAACCTTCAAGAGACTTAATCAACCCTTTTCTAAGATTGTATGATGGAGATATGTTGGTTGTATTGCTTATTTTGATAATAATAATAATAACAAGCATTAAAAGGAGCCTAATACATCACATTTATAATATAGAAACGTCGAGTTTCATTGTGTATCCTCTTCGGCGCATTCCTATATAGTTGATATTTCATAATATTTCTTTATTTTTTATGATCTAATAGTTACTTTTGAAAACTTTTATTCCTGTTTCACGGATTTTTTAATGAAGACGACAGTTTCATATTTTCCAGGAATGTTCGAAAATCCAGCGCCAGCAAAATATTAAAAAAAAATAAAAATAAAAAATATTATGAAATATTAACTATATACGAATGCGTCGAAAAATAATCGATGACTATTGTTTGTAATATCTGAATGATTTGTTTGGAATTAGATTAATTATTTTACGATCCGAGTTGAATGTTGCAACTTTCCGAATTTGTATGGACGCTACGTTCTTCGGTATGAGTCATTTTTAACAATTTTCTCCTTATAGACACAACAGATAGAAGAAGGATCAGTAGCGATAAAAAACGATTATTTTTCGCCGTAAGCCTATACCCCCTTTAATTTTTCGCGAACACTTCCTTTAAAGGGACGTTAAGCGTAATTTAATGTGCCCCTGCATGCATAGATGGCAATGCTCGATTTTCACTGGCAACCTTAAAATGTTTCTGATCAAGTATGAATTAGATATTCATGTTTTTGTTTCTTTAAACTGTTTAATGTCATTTGCGACTTCTCTGCGACAGTGGCCTACATATTTCTTGCTTTAAAGAAGCCATGGAGAAATAATCAGAATTAAACACTTTTTAAATTATTAAAACGATATCATCTTCCACATTTTGTTGAGATGAAGGTTTGAAGGGTACCCTTGTAAATCGGGTATCGCCGTCTTTGTCATGGAGAGTCACTTTAAATTACGCTTACAGTCCCTTTAGGGTCATTTATCGTTGAGAGTTCATTCAACAAAAGCTGGGGCTAGTTTATCCCCTCAATGTAATCAAGAACTACTTCAAACATACAAGAGAAGATAAAATATATGGGTTCATATTCTAGGGTCCAGGATTCATATTATAGGATCCAATATTCACATTCTAGGATCAAGGATTCATATTCTAGAATCCAGGATTCATATTCTAGGGTCCAAGACTCATATTCTAGGATCCAGGATTCATATTCTAGAATCCAGGATTCATATTCTAGGATCCAGTATTCACATTATAATGTACATGGTGTACAACAATCACAAATAAAACAGATCGTGCAACTAATATACAGGGTGTACAACAATCACAAATAAAACAGATCGTATCAGATAATGTACAGGGTGTACAACAATCAAAAATATAACAGATCGTATCAACTAATGTACAGGGTGTACAAAAATCACAAATATAACAGATCGTATCAACTAATGTACAGGGTGTACAACAATCACAAATAAAACAGATCGAAGCAACTGATGTACATGGTGTACAACAATCACAAATAAAACAGATCGAAGCAACTAATGTACATGGTGTACAACAATCACAAATAAAACAGATCGTATCAACTAATGTACAGTGTGTACAACAATCACAAATAAAACAGATCGAAGCAACTTAGAGTACATGGTGTACAAAAATCTTTTCAGTTTGATAATGAACAAAAAAATGTGATCCAAGATAAAAATCCGAATGAGTGCAAACGAGTACGGCTTATAGCCAAAATAAAATATTGTGTGAAATAAGCATGGGACTGTTGTAGTTAAGTGACCCGCCATTTAAAGAAAAAGTTTAATTCGGAAAATTTCTTCATTGTTTAAAAAAATGTAACTTTAGCAGAGAAACCAAAAATGAAAATAAAAAAAATAAAAAAATAAAAACAAGGATTTATAATTCATGCTTGATTAGACAAATATCTTAAGGGTACCGTTGTGAATCAGACATGGCACTCTATCAATGGAGGGTCACTTGAAATTACGTTTACAGTCCCTTTAATTTTTTGCCAATTATTTAGTTTACACTCTATATTTATATATTTAACTAACAATATGTTTAGTTTCTGGAAGTATGAAGGGGGTGGTTTGCTCCAAGTGTGAGGATGAGGAGGACGGAGAACCTGTGTATCAGGGTATACATGAGATCAAGAAGGATCAGGATGAAGAGATGAGAAAACTAAAGGTAAACCTCGTGTTAGGATTGTTACCACAATAAAACAAAATTAAGGGCAAGGTTTCATGCCACCCGCCCCCCTCCTCCCTCCCACCTCCTAAATGGTTATTTTAGACTGTTGCACTTGTAAATTTATATTTTAAAACCTAACCTAGTATTTTCTCCATACTTGAAAAATTTAAGGTTTACTAGATACTTGAGTCTGCTGGTTTAACCTTGGTACCTGGAGAAGGAGAAACCTGGTTACAATCAAGTTGAAAAGTATCTAATATGAAAATGTAGGACAAGAAAGTATACCGTAGATGAAGATAGGCCATGACATGAAACGACAAGGACAATAAATTATATATTTATGACCGGACGCTCTAGGACAAGATAGAGAATAATCTGTAATTTCATCTTAAAGTCGAGAAAACATTAATATTCTTATCTCTACCGAGAAAACAAACCTTCAACAGTAAATTTGAAACTCAGTTCCTCTTTTAATTCAATATCATTTTAGAGTTATAAACTATCCCGTCGTAAAATATCTTTCTCTTGAAGAGAGTTTTGATTTATGATGAGATTGCTTCGGAATTTAGTCAAATAGATGGATACCTACAAAGAAACAAGAACTTAAGTCTTCAAATTGTTTTACACTATATTCTTGCCAAGATTACATTGAATGCAGAAGAGCGAATGTAACGTCCTATTCGTGGTGTTAAAAGAGCCCTAGGTCACATTTGTTGGTAACCCTGTATATTCTAAAGTACTACTGATATCCCGCAGGTTTCTCTCTCGACCTAATCCCATTTATCGGATTTTCCGACCTTCCAACCAGTCCTATTGTTCTCCTTCTCTTTAACCCGTCCTGAAGGTTTTCCGACCTTCCAACCAGTCCTATTGTTTTCCTTCTCTTTAACCCGTCCTGTAGGTTTTCCGACCTTCCAACCAGTCCTATTGTTTTCCTTCTCTTTAACCCGTCCTGAAGGTTTTTCGCCCTTCCAACCAATCCCGTAGGTTCTTGTTCTCCATTCCTGCAACCCGTCTAATGGTTCCCCTTTCATCAATCTAAAATTTTGTTTCTCCCTCCCTGAAACATGTCCTATAATTCTCCGTCCTTACAATCTGTCCTATTTTATGGGTTTCTGTTTTCCTTGCTTCACGTCCTAATATCCATTCTATGATTTTCCGTTCTTTCAAGCCGTCCTATGGTTCTCTGTCCCTGCAACTCGTCCCATGGTTTTTCATCCCTGTAACCCGCACCTGCCACCCTACCTATAGTTCTCCGTCTCTGAAACCCATCCTATGGTTTACCGTCCCTTTAACCCATCCTATAGTTTTCCGTCCCTGCAACCCATCTAATTGTTATCTGTCCTGCAACCCATCCTATTGTACTCTGTCCTTGTAACCCATCCTTTGGTTCGCTGTCCCAGAAACCCATCCAATGGGTCCCTGCAACCCATCCTACGGATCTCAGTTTGCTCAAACCATCCTAAATTAGTCCGTCCACGCAATCCATTCTATAGTTTTCCGTCCCTGCAACCCATCCTACAGTTCTCCTATCCCTGCATCCTATGGTTCTGTGTCCCTGCAACCCATCCTATGGTTCTCCGTCCTTGCAACCCATCCTATGCTTCTCGTCCCTGCAACCCATCCTATGGTTCTCCGTCTCTGCAACCCATCCTATAGTTTTCCGTCACTGCAACCCATCCTATAGTTTTCTGTCAGTGCAACCCATCCTATTGTTCTCTGTATGCAACCCATCCTATGGAACTCAGTCCTTGTAACCCATCCTATGGTTCTCAGTCTCTGCATTCCATGGTTCTTTGTCTCTGCAACACATCCAATGGTTCTACGTTCCTGCAACCCATCCTATGGTTTTCCGTCCCTGCAACCCATCCTATGGTTCTCAGTTTTGTCAACCCATTCTAAGCTACTCCGTCCCTGTAACCCATCCTATAGTTTTCCGTCCCTGCATCCTATGGTTCTCTGTCCCTGCAACCCATCCTATGCTTCTCTGTCCCTGCAACCCATCCTATAGTTCTCCGTCTAAGCAATCCATCCTATGGTTTACCGTCTCTGCAACCCATCCTATAGTTTTCTGTCAGTGCAACCCATCCTATTGTTCTCTGTCTTCAACCCAATCTATGGGACTCTGTCCTTGTAACCCATCCTATGATTCTCCGTCTCTGCAACCAATCCTATTGGTTTTCCGTCCCTGCAACCCATCCTATGGTTCTCCGTCCTTGCAATCCGTCCTATGGTTCTCCGTCCCTGCAACTCATTCTATGGTTCTCTGTCCCTGCAACCCATCCTATGGTTCTCAGTCTCTGCATTCCATGGTTCTCTGTCTCTGCAACCTATCCAATGGTTCTTCGTTCCTGCAACCCATCCTATGGTTCTCAGTTTTGTCAACCCATTCTAAGTTACTCCGTCCCTGCAATCAATCCAATGGTTCTCAGTTTTGATAACCCATTCTAAGTTACTCCGTCCCTGCAATCCGTCCTATGATTCTCTTTCCTGCAACCTGTTTTTATCTCTCCAACCTTTTTCCATTCTGCATCACGGTTATTAATAAGTAAACCGGACTGAAAACACTGGATAATACATAAAGCAATCTAAATTAAACTAATGTTTTAACTAAAATATGAATATTATTTCCTTTCCAGCTTATCGAACACAAAACCACTTGAAACTATCATATTTGAATTTTTTCTTTATTAAATGAAAAATATTAATTCTGTTTCCTTTTAAGTTTGAAGAAAATGCATGCAGGGCCCATTAAGGTGTTGTATACCTGTAAACTAAAGTTTAGTTCTTGTAAATCTTCAAATTGTAGAATAATCTTGAAAAATAAATTCAAGATCAAGAGAGGAGAAGGGGGGGGGGGATAAAACAATTTTTATCTGGATTTCAAAAAGCTTGTATATTAATAACTAAAGTGCCCGTAAAATAAAAATAAAAAAATTTTGAAAAAAAAATTATTTTTTTATTTCACGAGGAACTTCGGGCACTTCAGCTAGTATCTTTTAAAATGCAAGAACTTTATAATTATGTTTATTCCTATACATTTTGTTGTCTTGAAAAATCTAACAAAGCGTAAGTTTTTAGCAAATGTATGCGTAATGCGTATAGAATTGAATCAGGAATGCATATATTTATATTATATCTATGTATGATGTATAACTGACAAGTTGTATAAACTCAACAAACAATCCTTGCATCCATCCTTCCAGACTCACAGTGGGAGAGAACCCGGAGAGAAGCTCATTAAACTCAAGAATGGGATAGATCATTCTCCCACTTAAACCAGATTTAATTAAATCCTAGATCTTGGCTTTAATTATACAGAGAAACTTAAAAGGATCGTTCATGAATTTAAGATCATGAGGAACTCCTAATTTTTCTCTCATTTTTGAGATTAATTGCCGATGAGTGTTCTTATCTACTCCGAGTCAAAATATTGCAAATTAGCTCATAAAATAATTTTTTACAGATTTAAAAACTTTCCCTTTAATATTCATAATTCCAGGTAGAGATATCAAGACTCAATGAGGAGCTAGGAAAAGCCAGGCAGACGGTTCACAGTCTCCAGGAGGACATGGAGAAGAAGAATGTTGGAACCCTATCCTCTCCGGAGAAAAAGGCCGGGGTTCTAGTACGAAAATACGGAGAACTGTACGCACAAACCCGACTGGACACCATGGATAGCTTAGATCGTCTCCCTGAGCTGAACGGGTTGGATGATCTGAAGAGTAAACTTCTCTTCTCCGTTATTGTTGTAAGTATCCATCTATCACTTCCTAACTGAGTAATCTAATAATACTGAGATCCGCTGAACCGTGATATCAATGAGATAGTTTGAAGACCTCCCATCTATTTAATTGTATAATTATGGAGACTGGAGAGTGAGGTTGAGACCGGGAGTCAGGTTTCAATATCCTGCGGTTTTGTCTCAATTAACCAAAGGAAGTTTCTCCGGAGCTAGGGTATCCGGGAACTCAAAGGTTCCGTCAGGAGATTTGTCAACATTCATCATTAGAGCGGAGAAGTGTTTAACATATCATGGTACTTATCATGAAGGTTAGGAGAGAGTGGGATGGTTTTAAAACCTAAAGAAGGAGGAGGAGGATTTAATGAGAAGGATTCAGAATAATGTTTTGGAAAGATTAAACAGAATCGAGTTTATTACAAGTATTGGGCAGGGATTAATTGTTAATAGTGATAGATTAGAGAATGGTAATTGAACGGGAATAGAAGGGATTTTTGAGAGTATTGAGAAGGGATTCAGAAGAATTGTGAAAAGAACTAAGAATATCAAGGAAAGGATTTAGAATGTCAAGGGATATTTTGAGAGGGAGTATTGAGAATGTCAAGAAAGGATTACGAGTGAGTATTGAATGGATTGAGAATGTCAAGGGAACGATTGAGAAAGGATTACGAGGGAGTATTGAAAGGATTGAGAATGTCAAGGGAAGGATTGAGAAAGGATTACGAGGGAGTATTGAAAGGATTGAGAATGTATAGGCATTTATTGAGAAAGGATTAAGAGGGAGTGTTGAAAGTATTGAGAATGTCAAGGGATGGACTAAGAAAGGATTAAGCATGTCAAGGAATGGATTGAGAATGTCAAGGGAGGGATTAAGAAAGGATTAAGCATGTCAAGGAATAGATTGAGAATGTCAAGGGAGAGATTAAGAAAGGATTAAGAGTAAGTATTAAAAGGTATGAGAATGTCAAGGGAAGGATTGAGAAGTGATTAAGAGGGAGTATTGAAAAGATTGATAAAAAATGGGAGGGAGGGGGGGGGGG